CTTTGTGTTTTTTGGTTGATGCTGTTCTTGAAATAAAATCTAAACATTTAGGAGAGTGAACAATCCTAACTTACAAATGACTATGAACTTTCTAACTAGGACAGAAAGGCAGTCTGATAAATTCTTGACAAATGTTTTCCATTTCCTGCCAGAGCTTGCAAATGGCAGTCTTAACTCTTCCATCACGACACAATTCCTTTTGTCCAACCAGACCTACTAACCTTCTCCCTACCACCCTGACTCTCAACCACATACAACAGCCTCCTTGCTGCCCAACAGAGGCTCATCTCTGAATCAAAGATCTGCATGGCCATTTTGAAAATCTGTCTACCAGCTTCCCCTTACCCCAAAATCTCCACATTTCTTCCCTCTTCACCACTGATTTTCCTCTTAAGTCTCAATTTTCCCTACAAACCTCTGTAGGATCTGAAGTTCTTACAAAGGTTACCAGGGACTCCTTGACCACCCTTCCTTGGACACAGAAATTATTCAGGTTCCATTTACTGCCCAGAAACACTAGGGCAATAAGCAGCCTTCTATATGAAGGCCATTAGATATAAAAGGTGTATAGATATAAAATACCACCACAAGGGCTCCAAATAGTCCCTCCAATCTCAAACTTGGTTTTTTGTTTGTTTAAACTCAGAAAAAGAACCCACATAGGGACTCAAATTTTTTAGAGACTTTTTCTGGTTATTACAGTAGTATTATGGAAAATAAGTAGCTCAACTACTAGCACTCAACTACTAGTACTCAACTACTAGTACTAGTTGCTCAACTCAGACCCCATATACTATCAAAGCATGAGGTAACTGACAGAAAATGAATACATTCTTTTCCTCACTTCAATTGCCAAGAATCAAACGCCTAACTAATTTCACTCGATCCCAAATTCTAGAGTAATCCTGGTTAAATTCTTTCATATCCAGATTTCCTAATTTTTTGAAAGAGGCTAACGATGCTGCTGTGTCCTAACAGAAATGCTTCTTTGAATCAGCAGAGATGTGAGCTTACTGGCGACAGATGTTATATGAACAAGTTAATATAGACAATTCTGTACATTTTTTTCATAATTAAGATGCTGTCTTGATAAAGTTCTATTGCTTTTTTATTTTTACATTTTTATACTAGCACAAAAACAAAACTAAATTCTTCCAATTTGTTTCTCTTATTTAGGTTAGCATTATCTGATGACAGGTTTGTGCTTGTTTTTCTAAACTATGCCTAGCAGAAAATCTGCTTGTAAATAAGCATTCAAGAGGTCAACTTACTGAATTACTGAGCAGATAACCATCCCTCACTTATTTTTCATGAGATAATTTCCTTACAACCAATCCTTCTAGCTCTATATATCTTTCAGACTGAGTTCTCAAAGATCATATACAGATCAATGATAAGCACTAATTATAACCACTTCTAACATATTCTATTTTTATGTCTCAAGACACTCTTGGAAACACGTAATAATAAAGGATCTTTCTACTCCTTCTATTTAAAAATTGGGTTATTTCTTTACCAAAGCTCAGTCTGAGACTGTTAATAACGCTAACCCTGAATTTCTACATAGTCCTATTTCCCCAAACATGTCACAGAGAACCTTCTATCATAAAGAGAAACTATGATCTTGCATTCGATAAGGTTTTCTCTCAAGGCAGTGATTTATCATAACTACATCTATATCTGTACCTATATATGCCAAATGTGATAAGCTCACATTCTTGAGAAATGTTAAAAACATGTTTAGAAAAATATGCATACCTACAGAACAACTGTTATTTATGAAACAAAAAGACAAATCACAATTGTATACTACCTTACAACCCACAAATATATAATTTATTGCCAAGATTTTCCATTGTGGAAACTGGAAAATACTTTCAACTGGAATCAATCTGAAAATGAAAACAAGAAATTTCATAAAATAAGAAAGCCCCCCTTCTTTGATTCTGTACAAGGCTATAGTAATAAAGTATTCATGAGGGCTAAGTTCATATAAAAAGAAAAGACAAAATGATTAAATTTTCTTTTCATTTCTGGGACTTCAAAATACCAATGCTTTCCCAACCTCTAGATTTACTTCAGATCACACCACAAACTAGAAAATAGAGACAAAATATCCCAAAACAGCAACTCCATAACAGCAGGAAATTCATTCCTCAGCATGTTTCCAAATCCTGAATGCACTTACCTCATAAACTTCATAAAATTTCTAGTGAACACTTCTGTTATCTCAGAAGTTGCAGGTTTCCAGGGTCAACCTCAGACCTTCTCAATTAGATTCTGGCTTTAGCATTTTTAACCTGAACTTAATTTATTCTGAAATATTCCAACTCTACATGCAAATGAGGACAAAGCTAGACAGATATCAAATAATTATTTGCTTTAATCTAAAACCTGTATCAAAAAACCTAGATAGCTGCCATCATTTGTTGTTATTGTTGTTGTGAATAAATAACTCACTACTTTCTAAAAGTTTTACCTATTCCTGCCTGACAGGACACAACAATTACTGTCAAACCAATCTTTAGTTCTGGTCTAGTTCATCTCTCTCACCATAAGTCACCCAAGATCCAAAGCCAGAACACATGCCCAGCCTGCATAATAGTCAGCAGTCCCTCCCAAGGGCAAGGCCAAAAATATCTCTTGAGGCAAATGGGAAATCGTGGTGCAAAGGTCCATCCTTATAAGCCCTTCCTTTACACATGCATTTTAAACTGGGTGCAGCAATGTCACCTGTCCAGGTTGACATGGATGTGCAGCAAAGGAAACCATCATCATCTGCAGGCAGAGAACAGGTCTTAAGAAAGCGGACTGTACCAGAAGCAGTATTTGACATAAAACAGTGAAACTACAGAAAGTCCTAATGATGTGTATGAGTACTCAACACCAGAATGACAAGACAGAAACTAAATTCACTTCCTTTACAAATTTAAAGCTCATAGGTGGAAACCACTGACAATATTTTAACTGAAAGAAATATGGTCCTAAATTATTAAAATTATTTTTGTTAAGCTCCCATACCTCTATAAACAGGAATATTCAAGAAAGTGTTAAGTAGGAAAAAGTCAATAACCAGTTTGATAAACTGCATTAATAAATTATAAGATAATAAAATGTTCTTCAACAAAATGCCCAGATCTATGGGAAAACTATAGCAGATTTTTTGCACTCAATGGATTCAGCAAAAAGACAAATATACTTTCTACTCTACTTGTTACATCTGAAGACACTACTTATTACCTACTCCACTTAAATCTGAAAAGTACCTCAAAATGCCAGCATCTAATTTATTGTGGACTTAAGATGTTAGTTTCTATTTTCCTTGTTAGAGGTTGTTCCATAAAACTCCAAGGGATGACTGCTACATAAACTAAAGTGATACACTGCCAATCTGTCTGCAGCATCAACTCTGAAAAGTCTGCAAGATAGGATAGGAAAGTATTAGAAATCCAATTTCCAATGTGAAATTTAAAGCATTACTTTGTTTATTCATTCTATGGGATTTTCCATTGTCCTCCCAAATGTCACAATATGCAAATATTCACATGTAGAACAGGATATTTTGTGAAAGGAGAAAAGACTAATTTTAAGACTTGAAAAGGTACTTTAATTTTGCAGGTGAAGGCTCAGCAAGTCAACTTGCACTAATCCACCAAAGAGGTGACTCAGCCTTGTGGAGATGATTTTTTAGGTGAAATTTCACATTTAAAATCCTACAGATAGTAGAGCTCCAAGTTTTCTGCCTAGAACAAAGAATAAGCCACCAGAATAATTATTTGCAAGGATTAACCATCCGTATTGGACATATTTAAATTCATGCAGTAGATGGTCTCTATGGTTCCTTTCAGAGCAAACGTTCCTTAATTCTGAGTAACTGCACCAAACTCTTCTTAGAGCTTAGTAACTACAAATAGAATTCGAATAGGACAGAATATTCACAAAGTTGTCATCATTAAGCTTGATTAAACAGTACAGAAAGATGGTAGCAGAATAAAGTATTCTGAATCAGGAATAAGAATATAATGAGTAGCTCGCAGCCCCGGGAATGAAACACCACATACAACAAAGTCTGGGTGGGTTTGGGATATAGTGGGCAATAGCTCTCTCCTCTGTTGAGTGACAACTTACTCACCCAACCAGGGGTAGATTTTGTCTCCTAATAATGAGCTACTCTACCTGAAGTAACCCAACCCCTGCAGGTAAACCCATGTCAACTAGAGAACGAATCTCGTAATTTTAGTGCAGTCTCCTTTATTAAGTTTTCCTACTTTCCATCCTAAAGAAAAATCCATTTCTCAACGCTGCAAAATGGTAAGATATCTACCCCTCTACGAGGACTCTCTCACTTTGTGGTCCAAACAAAAGCCATCATTTTGACTCCTCCATTCCGTAAAAAGGCCGTGGCTATTTCCAGGGTGCAGGCTCCTGTTTTGGCTCTACCCTCATTCCCCCATTGGGCTATTACCGTGACGGATCTGTGATTTTATTTAACGAGTCTCGACTGACAAACGGATCTCATCGGGAGCGGACGACGGGAAGCGCGATCGCCCTGCAGCAGACGTGAGGGTGGCGACGCAGGGTCCGCACCTCCACCTCGGCGGCCCCCGCGGCGGCGAGCTGGCCCTCCCGAAGTTTCTCTTTCTCCCACGCCGTCACCCGCCGCACCGCGGGAAGAGCCGAGCCTTTGACCCGCTGCAGGGCAGGGACAGCTCCCGTGCGCCGCCGGGACGCGGGAGTCGGGAGCGACCCCGCCTTCTCGGGACCAGCCCGGGATGCCAACTTTCCCGCCGCCCCTCCGCGGCCCAAACTTTGTGGTCCGCTCACCGGGCCGCACCCGGGACCGCGCGGCGCCGACCTTCACGCCCGCCCCCGCCGCCTTCCCGGGGTCCCCTCCGCCGCCCCGGCCCCGGTGGGAACCCCGCGACTGCAGTCCGTCACACAACCCACGACCCTCGGGGTCCCCGAGAGCCCAGTCGCCGCGCCCTGGGTTTCCCACTCACCATTGGCGAAGGGCTCCATCTTCCTCCGCCGCGGCTCCGCTCAGCGTGAGCGCCCGAGCTTCCTACTCCGAGCTGAAGCGGCCCTGCCGACTGAGCATGCCCAGCGCAGCCGCCCGGGGCTGCCGGGGAGGTGCGCGAGGGGCGGCGCCGCTCCGCTGCTCTGTGGTTAGGCCGTGCCGGGTTTTCCCGACCGCTGCAGAAAGGGCGAGGGGAGGCGGAGCCGTGAGCAACGCCCTAACCCAACCAGGCAGCGCGGCGCGGGGGCGGGGGTCAGGATAAGCCCCGCCCCCGGAGGTGCTCCAGAGCGCGTTCCCTACTCTAGGCTGGGTGACAGCCCGGACATCTCAAAGACGAATCGTAAAAAAAACGCAGAAAACGTAAAAAACAAAACAAAACAAAAAAAAAAACCCCAGAAAACGTGAAACCAACGCCGCGCTGCGCCTCAAACTGGGCGCTCCGCCGGGAGAGCGCGGGTCGCTGGTCCGCAGGCGCGGTGAGGACAGGCCTCCTGAGTGACACGGAGGTCGCGATCTGCAGGCCCAGAGTCGCCCTCTGGACCGCGCCTCGCCGGTTGCCCGGGGAGGTCGGCTGGGGCGGTGCGGTCCTCTGCAGCGCTGCCCTCCAGCATCTAGCTGCGGTGCGGCCGCGGGCGGATTCCGAGGGCCCCAGGTCCTGGCCCCAGGCTGGCTTCTGGGGAGGGCCTCCGAGTACAGGCGGATCGCAAAACCCGGCCTGGATCGCCAGGCCTGGGCCTCAGGGGCCTCAGACCAAGAGCCAAGGCCCACCCGATCCCCGCCCTAAATCAACACCTGTGGTTTCCTAGGGTGCAGGGGCTGGGGCCGTGGCCGGGGCCTGAGACACTAAGCTGGAGAAGCTTGCTCCCCGGCCCCAGCCCCCCAGCTCTAGCGCCATGCCCTCCCCCCCGCCCCGGCCCCGAGTCCTCTTTGCATCCAATGCCAAATCCAAGCAGCCACTGCAAACCTCTGACACTGAACGGCCTGGTGCTCCTCGAGCTCCCGAAAGGCTCGTCAGGGCCCGCTTCCTCATTCATCTCTCCTCTAGCCGTGCATCGCTGCCACCCTCTGTCCTCTCCACCCGCAGCCCTGCTCCCCTCGCGCAGCCCCGGCCCCTGCAGGGACTTGGCTCAGGCTGCACCCTAGTGCGCTGGCCAACTGTCACACGCTCCGGAGGAGGCTGTCAACAGGGCGTCGGGTGCAAACAAGCCTCCTAAAGAGCAAACAGCCTGAGCAAACAGGGTCGGCAGGAAGGGATGTTTTTTGACCAACACTAGAATTAGAAATTAAGAATTAGAAATGAAGTCCAGAGAAGGAAGATCGAAGTACAATATTGTACAGTGGATCCTCAAGTTAGGACCAGCCTGACATAGGAAAGACTTAGGTTAATTAGGTTAATAGAAGAGTCAGCTGCCTCTTGTTAGCTATAGCATGTACCCAGGTAAAGATCCAGATCTCACCTGTATTAGTAACAACCAGCCCTCGGGAACCAATCGAGTTCCTAAGTCGAGGGTCCACTTTATTTTGAAATGTCAATTGCCTTACACCTCCTACTTCCCAACCTGGCTTTAGAACTTGCAGTGGGTACCAACTGGACTTGGAGTAAAAGCACAACTTCCCTAACTAGGATCGCACCACACGTATTCACTATGATTTGGCCACAAAGGCCTTCATGTCGTTCGGTTGCCAAGTTCCATCCTGCGTTAACTACCCATTCCTTTCACCTGTTCCTGGCACAAGACCCGTTCCGTATGCTTGGTATTCTGTCTGCTGATTTTTCTTGTCATTTAGGTCTCAAGTCAGATGTCTCCTCCTCAGAGAACCCTTCTCTGACCACACATCTAAAATAGCTACAAACACGGTCCACTTTATGAAGATTCACCCTGCTTTATTTTCTTGCCGGCACTCATAAAGCCTCTACAACAATGTTTTCGTTTGTCACTTGTTATCAGTCTTCCTCTTAAGAATGCAAGTTACGTGCTAGTAAGGTCGTTACCTTTTTAGGCACTGTATTCTGATGACTACATAAGTATGCAATGAATACTTTTTTTGGCTGAGTAAGGGAATGAGTGCAGTGGTATTTAGAGTTCTTATTCACTGATGTTAAAAACCCTTCCAGCAAACATCTCTATCTTGAATGTCTCTAATTATTGTGTCTAATTGTTGTGTTTGTGGTAGATACAGAGAAAATATCTATCATAGGGTGCTTTAGTGTCTCTCTCTCTCTCTCCCCCTCCCTCCCTCCCCGCAGTCAGAACCCTTGGGCTGGGCCCCTGAAAGGGCACTTCATAACCACAAATAGAAAGTGAACCTCAGGAGGATATAGTGTCTCAGTGTTCAGATGTTATATAGTACAAGCAAAGCTGAATTTTGTCTAAATGACCCCACACAATGTATTGCTTAGATAAGAAACTTCTTCCCATATTTTAGGTCATGTCATGTTCCTTTGGTGTTATTTTTGTGGCCAAAGCATTTTAGTATCAGATATTTAAAACTCTATAGCTTGTTAAATCGCCTCACCTCACCTGTAAGTCACAGTCTATCATGCTTTGAGGTGTGAAACACATTATCTTGTGTTTTGTTTGAAATACTTCAACTCTGCAGACTTGTGGTAAAAATGCTTCACCACTGCATTAGCAGATACAGGTGAACGAAGGTATCTTTCTGAGATTTCTTTGACACAGAGACATAATCTCTTTGCCAACTGCTTGCCTCTCCTTCCTCAGGCTTATAACTATATATTAGGCATAAAAAGACCAAACAGCATGTGTCAAAATCCTACCTATGGTTAAAAGAATAACAATAAATTTTGGGGTTTTGGGATAGTATTTTTTTTTTAATTAGGTGCTATTTTATATTTTCTCGGAGACCAGAGGAGAATTCATGCCTAATTGGCCTCTTCTGTGAGCACAAAGGAGAAAGGCTGCACTCGGAGGTGATTGCATGTTGCAGTTTAGAGAAAACTTAAAACACCTGAGATTAAGTTGTTTGCCAGAGTATGTACTAGTGGATGTTGGAAAGCAGATGAATCTTGCATTTCTCTGACTGCTTGTGCCTGTGTGTAGGTGAATAAAGGCGAGGTGAGCCGGGCGTTGGGGGCTCCTCTGCCTACAAGGAGGCTGCCTGCATGTTAAAGTGACTTCGTGTGTCTTTGTCATTCATCCTCATTGGCCCCTGGATCAGGAAGAACAAAGTAAGGGGTCTAGGTCCCAGAGCAAAGCCACAGGTGGCACCCTCCAACGTAGGGCTCGGGACTGGCCTCCAATACAATATATCACTTCCTAGAGCCTTTTTTGAAGAAAAAGGATTGCACAGTTTCACTACTGAAACCCATATGCTTCTATTTAATTTTCCTTTCCTCCCACACAGAACTTCCTTTTTAGTTTAAAGGTATAACACTTTAAATTATTAGAATGCTACTATTCATTGTCATAGGAGATAGTATGATATTATCTACTATGCCCATCTACAATTTTCAGAATCATGCTACATACAATTTAACATTTGGATTGTAAAAGATATGAGCACCGTAAATAAATAACACTTGTTTATAAAGAACTAAACATGGGAATATAAATTAATACAGCCATTAGAGGTTCCTCAAAACACTAAAAAATGCATTATCCTATGATCTGTCTATCCCATTTCTCAATATATATCTAATGGAAATGAAATCTATATCTAAGATAACTATCTTAGAGATAACCATATCTAAGAGATAACTGTATGCCTATGTCTATTGTTGCACTATTCATCCTATGTGGAATCATCCTATATGTCCATTAACAAATGAATGGATAAAGAAAATTTGGTATATATACACAATGAAATATAATTTAACCATAAAAAGAGTAACATCCTACCACTTACAGCAAAATGAATGGAATTGGCAACATTATGTCACGTGAAGGTCAGACACCCAATGATAAATACCATATGTGCTCTCTCATGCATAGATGCTAGAAAAAGAATGTGAATGTACATTATAGTGATTATCAGAAACCATGAAGAGTGGGGAGCAGGAGAGTAGAAGGATATCGGGTGACAGTAACAAGACAGAAGAGATATGAGACAGAAGTAGTAAGTTCTAGTGTCTATAGCACAGGAGGGCTGACTAGAGTTCACAACAACCTATTATATATTTTATGAAAAAGTAGAAGAGGGGAGCTGGAAGGCTCCAGAGTAGTAAGTGGATGGGAATGTTAATTACCCTGATTTGATCACTTCTCCATATATTGAAATATTGTGCTATATCTCATATATAATTATTAAATGTTATTTTTTTAATTTTAGGGAGATAAAAATGCTAGCTACCCTAATTTGATCATTATACATTGTGTACATGTATTAAATCATCACTCTGTACCCCCAAAGTATATTTAATTAAAATAATAACGTTTAAAAGCCTGAGTTTAAGTTTTTAGCTGAAATTAAAATTCTCACATTTCTGTTTAAATAAACACTCCAATTTAACACTGCAAACAAAATTTAAGAAATAAAGAAGCAACAAGCTGGATAATCAATATAGGAGTTTTTTTCAATCAACACACAGCACTTGGTCTGCCATAGATCAGTGAACTCAAGTCTCACATTTAACAGAGCGGGGAGCTGCAGTCTAGAAAGGGTGGATGGCTGAGTCACAGTCCAGGGAAGGCATAGACTTGAACTCAGGCTATCTGTGTTCTACATTGGTGCTCTGGAGGTTACTGTTGCCCTCTCTACCCACTAGGAAGTTAAGGTAAACGATAATACTCCATAAAAGGAATTCGAATTAAATAGAAATATAGCTAACACCCAGCCATCAGCAAGCTATTCCATTAACTCTTTAATTGATGCTCCATATCAGATTTGGATTTATCCCTATTAAGTTTTTCTAGTTGTTTTGAAATAAGCAATAAATGATACATTCATTCAATGCACACATTTGAAGATTTTATTTGATCAGTAGTCTTGAGTAAATGAACAAAGCTGCTTTATGTCAAAACAAGAATGACTACATGAGATTTCCAGACATCCTAAGGGCTGAAAGAGTCCATATCTCATTACCGTGTAACCCATTCACAGCACGCACTGCACATTAATTAGTGATGTTTGGAGTTATATCAAATTAAGACATGTCTAAAGCACAAAAGAAAGTGGCATAATTATAGAACAGAGCTCTTACAGGTTCTGATATTAGCTGAAAAATTCAACCAAATTTTAAAAAGTTATTCTTAGGAAAGAGCAGTTATATACTGGTTCAGATACTTTGGATGACAAAACCAAAACTGTAAACCAAACTAATTTAAATAATAAGAAAATTAAATATTTCACACTACAAGTCCAGAGATAAGGCAATCTTCACCTACAACTTCTCAACTTTATCAAGAACCCAGCCTCCACCCTGTGACAGATTTTCCGAAAGACCAACTGGCATGTGGTCAGAAAACTGGCTGCAGTAGGGGAGGGAGGAAGAACTTTCTCTTTCATATCTCTTTCCTGAGAACAAAAAAACTTTTCTCAGAAATCCCCCATTAGAATTCTTAGGTCTCATTGGCCAAAACTGTATTTTGTACGTTTCTAAGCCAACCTCAGAGAATAGAAAGGTAACCATGGTTGATTCTCAGATAAAGCAGTCCCAGAGTGCTGAGCTTAGAGGCAGCCTTCTTGTTTCACATGAAGGAAGGGAGGTATTATTTGAATAAAATATTTTTTCTTATTCAAATTAGAAAAGGGGAATTAAGCAACCAAAATGTTAATTAGGTACCCTA